AGTGAGCTGCGGCACACTTCAGTGGTATAGCTGCATTTGGGCAGGCTTTATATCAGAATGTGACACTTATTTTAGTCTATAAATAGCCTGCCAATTATTTTATTTACCCCTTCGGTCCACACCTCTTTCTGAACTGTGCACTCGTCTCAGTCATAGCTTTGTTAAGCTCACAAATGCGTCGAATCTAAGCACAAAACAAACATCACCTAAGAGTTCTTTGAAAAAGGAAATGACCCAGTGATCACACAGAAAAGTCTAAGAGTGCTAAGAAAGAGAAAGTTGTATTTAAAAGACAATATAAACAGTCCTACTGAAATAATGGGTACACTGCAAGATGTGATTCATACTGTCCAAGCCTGCTTTGTGAAATCCATAGTAGCCAGCAATCAATGAAGTAATCAAACCTTCAAGACTGCTTCACCACATGAAGACCAAACACCCTGCATCAAAAGACAAGTCTTTGAGTTTCTCAAAAGAAAAAAAAAATGTGAACAAGAAGGAGTACTGAAGGCCACTAACTCAAACATATAAATACTGAAAGCATTATTCTTAATGGCTGATTGCATTGCTAAAGCTAAGACTCCCTTACTGTCAGTGAAAAGATGATGTGGCCTGCTGCAAAGGACAACCGTTGTGAACTCTTAGGAGTGGCTGCAGCTCAAAAGGTAACATGTGTTCCTTTCAGTTAGCACCATAACTACACAAACTGATGAAACAGCAGGCAATACTGAGGCACACCGATGCTTCTGTGTGATACATTTTTCAGGAAGATGTGTGTGAGGATATGTGAGTATGGAAGGGAAGGGGAATTAAAAAACCAAGCCATGTTAAATACATGTACCTACTCCCCAGGGTGAATGTAAACAGTATGTACTGCATACTGTTATTAATAAAAATGAGTGGGTCAATACTTACTACCAACTTTTGAATTAATATGCTGAAATTAGAATTATCTACTTCAGGGCCGGGGATATAGTTCAGTGGCACAAGCGTTTGCCTAGCAAGTGCAAGGTCTTGAGTTCAATTCCCAGTACGGAAAAAAAAAGAATTATTTACTTCTGTATCTAGTGGTCATGAATTTCTTTAATTTATGTTACCTTGGGAGGTCTTTATTTCTTCAATTTTAAAGGATAGTATTACTGGACATAGTAATCTAGGTTAGCAGTTATTTTCTTTCAGAGATTGCAGTACATCATTCTGCACTTTCCTTGGCTTCAGAGTTTCTGCAGAGAAGTCTGCCATTATTCTGACAAATTCGTCTGTACAAATGACGTGGTGTTTCTCTCTCATAGCTTTCATTATTCTTTCCTTGTTCTGTACTCTTGACATTTTCAGGCATTTTCTGGTCATGCTTCTTTGGAGGCTAAATGCCTCCTGTACCTGCATGTCTACATCTTTCTAATGATTCTGGAAGTTTTTTGTTATCACTTCATAAAATAGATATTCTATCCCATTTGTCTTAACTTTGGTGTGGAGAAGGACATTCTTTAGTTACACTTTCAATGTATTGCCTCAGGCCTGACTGAGCCACGACTGTTGGGTTCTGGAGGAAGTCTAGCAAAAGCACTGAAAGCCCCAGAGACAACATTAGACTTGGCTGAGATATGCCCGAAGGAATGATAACATGATGGCTAACTAGTCAAGTCTCATTCCTATGATAATTGAGTTGTATTGTCCTTGTTAAAACTAGTG